TATATTTATTAGAATTTGTTCTCTCACAGGGGAAGCCAGCGAGATCGCTAAACAGTAAAAATATACCAATATTTTGAACATTACCATGCTTCCGTCAGTACCCAAGTTGTTGCTTTCAGTAGAAGTTAACTTGCTTTTTGTTCGTTGATGCAAACGGCGCTTGCCAGCTCCAGAGCCTGGAATTGGACTAGTACTCCGACCTGTAATAACACTGAATCAGCAAACAAATTGTCTGCAGAGCACATTTTAAGTACATGTTCTCTTTACCTTTATCCTCGGGCTGCGCACCGCTTTCGGATCGTTCAGTATTCTGTTTTGCACTCTTAGAAGAATCCGATCTGCGGGGAGTTAGCGATTTACCAGGTGTCTTATGATGACTGTTAGACTGTGCTTGATCTGAAAATAATACATAAATTGTTATTTTCTATGTCTGATCAGACCTACCACTCGTCACAATCAATGATTTTCCTATCTGCAACTCCAGATTCCGAGCAGGTTTGGCAAACTTGCCTTTCTATGAGACAAGTAATGCACTGGTCCGTATTTTTGTGGAAGAAGGTGAGTCCAGAGGATAACACCATGGTATCGTACAGGATGTCAAGATGTCTCTGCAGAAACAAGTCCGGTCGCATGACTTTCTGTTTGAAGTTTGAATTACTTCCAGCCGCCAAAAAATTGACGACGCGGTGTAGGCGCCCTGCATTCTGCAAGGGCAGTCCGGGAGTCTCACCCGGTAAAAAAAACCTGCTCTTCATTAAAAAATCTGCTCTTGTCACTGGTACTTGGGGTCGACCGGCTTCCCCTTATTTTGATTAGGAGCACATCAGAAATAACATGGGCCTGCATGCGCAGGCGGAGGAACCGACCCAAGCGTCCCCTCATCTTCCTGAGTGCGGGTAAGTTGACGTCCGAGGCGGTGAGCCTGCACCAAATCAAATAAACAATTACATTTAGGTTTGTTCTTTTCGTTTATCGAGTAAATTGACGAGAGTTATTAACATTTTCCTACCGGGAGGTGTTGGCAAAGCCAACAAGTGCACTGCACTGGTGGAAGATGTGACGAGTCACTGGAACCCAGAGGGTAGAAATTGCCCTCCTGTGAAGTTGGACAGGCTTGTCGGCCACCCGAAAAGCCTCCTCAAGCCGCATCATCCACGAGTCAAAGGCCAACTCATCCCTCTTCACCTTGTCCTTAATGGCCTGACGCTGACCAAGCCTACCTCGATGCTTCTTTGCTGGTCGGCCGAGGACCTCGACCGCCTCCTGAAGAAAGGCCTCGGCTTCCCGCCTGTCCACCTCAGTAAACTCGGGATGTTGAACATTTCGAACAATGGAGGGAAGGGCAAAGAGGTCCTTCCTCAGGGTGTGGCCGGACAAGCTTTGTCGAGATAGAACGTAGCGCTCAAGGAGCGAACACTCGCACAGCATCCACGGTTCAAAATCAGACCCTGCCAAGTTTTGAAACGCTGCCAAAATCTTCCTAGCGCTTTTTAGAACGTCAGCCGAGAGGTTGACGTTGCTGAAAATTTCATGACTTTTTGGCAGTGGTTTCAAAGACTTGGCTTTTATAGCTTGGGTCTGTACTGCAGGTGGGGGGGTGGCAGAGGCTTGAGGAGGTGGGGAGGGAGGGACTTGATGGTCGTAGAATTGAACTGGTGCCTGGTCAGTTGGTGGGTTGGGTGGTGAAAGGCAGACCGGCTTCAGAGAAAGACCAGTCACCAGAACAATTTTAACGAGCGGCAAAAAATTGAATAATTGATTCTTCAATTCATTAAAATTTGGAAAGTGAGCCCGCAAGGCCTGCTCGGTGATGTACATGGTGTTTCTGAGCCGCTTCGCCAGCTCACACACAGCTCAGACACACCAAGCCTCTTAAGGTCTTTCTCATGATGATTTCGGAGGTGGGGGTTGGGGGTTGGGGGTTTTCTAGCTCCTTTTTTCGGTTTGGCAGAGATTTTGGATTTAACGAAAGCATTAACAGGGGCGTTTAACTCAGCTTTTTTTAATGGAACACTATCTACTTTTGGCACATGTTCTCCTGGCACTAGAAAAAAAAATTAATTTACTTTCCATCCCTTTACCACAAAAACGCAGAAAAACATGGTGTACCAACCATTTTCCACTTTGACAACATTGGTGAAAAAGTTTGTTATATGTTGCAAGCCTCTAGTACTTGGCGATTTCCCAGGCTGCAAAAATAAAAAAGATCATTAAAAAAAATCAAATTCTTTACTTACAGAGAAATGCGCAGATGCAGAAGCTTCTTCAGTGCCCGCAAAATCGTTGATTTAAAATAATAATAAAAAAACGCCATAAACGTAGCAGCGACAATGCTAAATACACGAAACAATCACCGGCAAACTTCTAGAACCATCGCACCGACGAACTTTAAAATACATTCACGCACTTAGACAAAATTATAAAAGTTTAAGAACTCGTTGCAAGGAGGCTTTTATTCCTACTACACATCAAAGTGCCTTACGGGCCAAACGACAAGGCAACATTCCAACCAATACTTTGAGACCAGACGTGTACTTTGCGACCGGAGAAGTACTTTGAGACGGGGCGAGTACTTTGAGACAGGACGAGTACTTTCCGACGGGACTGGAACTTTCGTACGGGGAGTTGATTTACTGACAAAACGAAGAGTAGCACCACGAATCATGCGTTGTTTCAAAAGAAGACGCTCGTAACCTTTAAACGCAACTCGTAAAGTTTCAACAACTGCTATCAAGGTGGATTCCATATTGCAACCAGTACTTTGAGACCGGAGGAGTACTTTGAGACTAGACGACTACTTTGAGACGGGACAAGTACTTTGAGACGGGACTTCGCAGACGGCCGTTCAAACGAAAGTTAGTGACAATAACTACCACACCACATTTCAAAATGCATGCACAGATCAAAACACAATCAAAACACAATTTTCAAAACAACAGAGAATAAACACATCCTAACCATGTATCCTGAAAACACTTGTACAGCAAGAGTAGTGTGTGTATCTTGTCTTTTAGCCGGTTTGGGGGATTTTTAATAACAAATAAAAAAAAAGCCTTAAGAAAGCGAGGGGGCCGCCACTCCTGAAATCATGTGTACGCCCTCCCTGAAATCCTCCCGAAATCATTTGAAATCCACCTGCAATCATGAAATCATGCGTAATCTGCCAGCAAATTTTAGTCTGAAATCATTAAAAGGTCATGTAAAAACCGCCGGAATCACGTAAAATCCGCTGGAATCTTGTGAAATCCGCCGAAATCCGGTAAAATCCGCTGAAATTATCTGTAATCCTTCAAATCAGACATAATCTGCCAGCAGGGTGTAGCGTGAAATCTTCTAAAATAATATGCGAAATCCGTGAAATCATGTGAAATCACGCAATCTATGCAATCGTGTGTACATCCAAAGAGAGAGTGGTGGCCCCCTCGTAAGAAAGGCAGTCTTTGTTGAGGTTTTGGCAAAAGACAAGCGTGGTAGTTTTGTGAGGGACAAAAAAACAAGGCATACAAAACAGAACAAGACACTGCACTCATCCCAGAACCATCACCATGTTAGCTTCAAACTACTGTAAAAATAAGGGGCTTATTGCTGTAGGCTGTATTTAACTTGGACTGTAAAATCTCCGGGAAGGCAGCTAAAAGGGCTGGCAATGCACCGATAAAATAAATAGCGCGGGAGGACGCAAATGACGAGTTAGAGGAGAGAATGGGACAAGAAAACGTTAAAATAAATAACGCGGCAGGAAGCAAAAGACGCCCTACAGGAGGGAATGGGGCATAAAAAGAAAACGTACACTTACTACTTGCTGGCAGACGCGAAGATTCGATCTCCTCCTTGTGAAGCTGGCGTTTTGCTCCGTGCTGGTCGAGGGCATCACCTCAGTGGTGAACGAATTCTTCTCAGTCTTCATCTTCTTGAGGGTCGGTTGGTCCTTGGTGGGTTTCTTGGATTTCTTGGCAGGTGGTTGCTCATCGCTGGGGCTCATGGTTCTCTTCATTGTCTTCCCGCGGCCTTGTCGTAGAAACCCTCCATGGCCACTTCGGCCTCCACGGCTTCTCACCATCTTCGCTCTCTTCTTTCACCTCTGATAACTCTAAGTGTGTTTTCTTAAAAAAAAAAAACCCCTAAATTATCACAGCACACACGTGCTCGCCTTGATTTAACTCTCCTTGCACTTCTTCGACAACTTCTGACAACTCTGAAACACAGTACGTGCGCAAACGTGGTACAGGACCCGATTGACAGAGATGGCGCGTCAGGCCAGCGGGTGACATATATAAGAAAACGACCTGAACGACCGCGCAGACGCCAATGAAAATGTTCCGTAAACCCTGACAGGCTTATAAACTGATCCCCAATTATCCTAGGAAACGCGTGGTTTGGGTCACGAAAACTGTGACGTACACACAAACTGGTCCCCGATAAGAAAAAGCCAGGCATGGTTTGGGAAGCGTAAACTGTGACAGGCATCTAAACCGGCTCCCGAAAGGGGTGTCACAGGTAAGAAATTGCTTCGGCACGGCGTCGAAACCGCTTTGGCACCGCTTTGGCACCGCTTCGGCACCGCTCGCCAAATACAACAAGAGGGCCACCATCACCTTTCGAGAGATCCAGACCGCTGTCCGCCTCCTTCTGCCCGGTGAATTGGCCATGTACGCCGTGTCTGAAGGCACGAAGGCTTTGACCAAGTACACACACATCCTCCAAGTAAATTCACTCGGATCCCATTCCCCCGAGAAACAGCCCTTTTCAGGGCTAAAACATGTTTTCCGTAAGGGTAAACGTCAACAAAGACAATACAATATCACTTTACCGCTTCTGATTAAACCCTTTTTTACCGCATTCCCTTCGGAGTTCCCGGGGAAACTGCTGGCTTGAACGGAGTTTCCGAGAAAACTCCACGCTTGAACAGAGTTTCCAGGGAAACTGCAGGCTTGAACTGAGTTTCCGGGGAAACTATTTATAACCGTGGGAGGGAGACCGGATAGCGAAGGGTGAAAGGGAGATAGAGAGGGATTGTCTGAGTCTTTGTTGTAGGATGTCCCTTCAGACAGATTTGGTGGCCCTCAAAAGAACCTTTTAATAAGTCGCTTGAACGAGGTAGGCCCTTTCCTCCGACTTTTGGGGCAGGAGCAGAGCCTGAATTTACTCACTGATTTTGACGGGCCTGACGGCGAGCCTCACGAGCCTCACGGCGTTTCGCTTTCCTCCTGTCACGTCTCTCCTCACGCTTCGAAAGATGAGCCATCTCCTTCATCAACCTTGCGAGGTGGCGGTAGATTTGCGAATCTTCATTTAGGTGGCTGACCATGTGTTGGGACAAGTAAAGAACTCTGTCCCCGCAGAACGGGCAGTGAATCTGGTAGGGCTCCGACGACCAGATCGCAAAGTCTTCTTCCATCTTGGCAGGGTGTTGAAACAAAATGTCACAGTTTCGCGTATACAGTGAAGAAAAGCAGACGGAAAGTTATGCATTGACGGTTCGGGATCAGCCGCGAGAGCTAATCTATACCCCATGCTACAGATAATTTATTGGGTCACGTTTAACGTGACATGTCGTTCTTTGCCAACCGACGGTCTGCTAAACCTAGCTAAACCACCCAAATATGGACACGATTGTCACAGTTTACGTGACGGGATCAAAAACTATCACTGACTCGGGTAACGTGACGAACCCATAGATGGGAAAGGGATAAACACTACATTTTACCCATTTCAGGTTTTCGCTAGCAGTAAATTCTACAAACTGAGACGCATCTTTCTGTGTAACCGGATTCAAAATTTCTTAGTAAACGGCAGAGATACAGAGCAGTACCAAACAGCGAAAGTCCACCCTTGAGGCAACAAAGAAACGAATGTCCTCATCTTGGCAAACCAAAACCACGAAAGTCCATACATTTGTTGATCAAAACAGCGAAAGTCCAGCCATGGGCTGATATAACAGCGTCAACAAAGTCCACAAAATTATTGGACTTTCGCTCTTATGTTAGCTCACACATGGACATTCGTTCTTTTGTTGGACCAGACTTGGACATTCGCTTTTTTGACAGTCCAAAACTAGTCTATTGTGTTTTTTTCACATCAGCTGTGGACGCACATTCTACTTCAGCAAATTCAGTAGCCATTGACCATGCTCTATAAAAATACATCTCTGCCATCTATCTTAAAAAAAATTACACTGTGTTCCCATTTTTGTTATTTCACCACGGGTATATGGTTGTACTTTTCTTGAACAAGCTTTTTCCACATGATTAACTCCAGCTACATATTTGCATACAGCAAAGTAGTCATTGATGTTGGATTTAGTCTCGTGTGAACCGTGTCTTCACAGTGAGGTGGCCTCACTGAGGACGCTGGTCACAGAGGTTTTCAGCCAATCACAGTCCTCGAAAACCTCTGAGGCCAGCGTCCTCATTGAGGCCTGCTCACCGTGAAGACACGTGTCATACGAGACTAAATCCAACATAATATAGGTTTATGATGTTGTTAAGTTAACTTCACTGTCAACAGTCATCTGTTCTTGTGTACAAATACACCTGTCTTTGATGCAAGTAGACTAGTCTCCAGTTAATCGTGTTAAGTGGCCCCAAGCCAAGCCATATATGGCTGAGAATTGTTCATAGTTGATTTCTGACCTTCTGATCTGAACCTTACTTGGTTATTCCTGGTTTAA